TTTTTTTTTTTTGGTATCAGGGGTCAAATTCTGGTACTTGTGCTTGCAAGTTTGCAGGCGGTGGAACCAGAACCACTGAGCTAAATTCCTGGCCCTGTACCATTCCTCTTTAAGGGGGAGTAGCACCCCTAAAGGCTTGCTCTCTCTAAAGGGCAAGCTGTGCTCTTTCTCTTGATTTAAGAAAATGCTTGAAACTTTTTTTTCTAACTCATCTTTATATCTAAAATAGAACCCAGTTGGGTTTTTTTTGTTGTTGTTTTTGCATTACTGGGGATCAAACTCAGGACCTTGTGGTTTCAAGGCAGGAGGCACTATTGGACTAAATCCCGGCCCAGGACCCAGTTTTTAAACTTTGCCCTTGAGTAGCTGGTTCAGTGCATCTGGGAGGCTGTCCTGATGTGCGTAAGGGTGCTGGCATTTCAGCCAGTCCTGGAGCACAGAGTCCCGCTGAGTGTTGGAGTGGGCTGAGAGTAGATGTCCCTCAGCTCCTCTGTCTCCCCTGAGCCTGGCCGTGGCGGTCTCAAACACCAGGCTGGCCCTGTTGTGACTCTGTCCCCTGTTGAGGCGGCCAGGCCAGAGGAGCTGTACGAGCGGCTGTAAAAAGCCTTCCTGTGTTTGAGCCGTGTGCATGACTGGTGTGTCCTGGTGTGCCCGCTGCAGCATCCTAGCCCCCATCTTTCTCCCTGGGGGTGAGCACCAGGCCTTTTTGTCCTGGGGGGTGCATCAGCGAGTCCGCCTTCAGACCTGGGTTATGGGGGAGCTGAGCAAGCCCTGGAAGAGGCCTGGTTAGGGGAAGCTGTTAAACTCAGCACCCAGCATACGGTCAGGGTCCCTGCATCTTCACCCTCACTTAGTTTGCAGAGGAAGGAACACATTGTTTTTAAAAGAATCAAAAACCTTTTAAATTCCTGCTGTGTTTCGGTGCCTTCTGGGTCTGTTTTTGTTGGAGGTTTTGTGGAGCTGAAGTACGCTTGCTTGCGGGTGGTGATTTAGTCCATGGTGGCTGACAGGGTAATAAATGTCTCCAGAGATCTGAACGCCCAGGAGTGTTAGGTGGAGGAGCAATGTGAGGGACCATCCAGGCGGGGAACAAATGAACCCTGTCCTTGGCCCGGAGACCGTTTCTCCAAGCAAGCTCTGCTAGTCTGCCTTGAGTATCCATTACACCCAGGCCCAGCCTAGGGCTTCCTGGAGATCCTTGTTTGGTTTTCCTAACCTTGTAGGTGCCAGCAGGCCACTGTGAGGATTTTTAGCAGGGGAGGTGAGGGAACAGGAAGTTGTGAAGCCCCATGTCGTTGGAATGAGTCGACTGGCTAAGAGCCCCTTTGGACCCTGGGCCAGAAGGGCTTAGCTCCCTGCCCCCTGGCCTGGGAGTGGGAGTGGGTGGGGTGGGGCCTCTGTTAGGAACGCCCTGCACAGAGCTTGCATTGTCTCAAAAATGCAGTAAATAGAAGCTGGGTGTGGTGGCCACACCTGTAATCCCAGGAGTCAGGGGGCTTGCAAATTTAAACCCAGGCCTAGGCAATTTCAGGATTTAGGGAGGCCCTGAGATCCTCAGGCCTAGGCAATTTCAGGATTTAGGGAGTCCCAGAGATCCCCGTCTCAAATTAAAAAGAGGCCAAGGCTGTAGTTTTGCTCCAAGGCCCTGGACGAAGGGAGGATGGACTGCTGTGTATCTGCTGCTGGGATCTAACCCCTAGGGCTTCCTGCTGCTAGGACACTCTAGGGCCGAGCACTCCTGAGAACTCACTCTGGAGGAGGCAGGAGTTAGGGTGAGTAAGGTTCTGCTTCGGAAGATACCCTGACTTTGGAATATGAGCCACCAGGGTGGTTTGGAGAGAGGACACCCGGGTGGCTGGCCTCTTGTCAGTGCCTAGGTGTCCCTCTGCTCTTTCCTACACTGCTCAGCCTTCAGCCCAGGCCTCACAGCGGGGCCTGCAGCCCCACAATGCACACCAGGTGTGTCCCAATTGCAAAGCCACAGTTCAACTCCGACTTGAGCTCCTGTTGGTCCAGGTCCCTGTGCCTCTGTGTCCCCGTGGCTCCAAGTGCTGGGATAGTTGGGCCCATGCTGGGTGTCCTGTAAAGGTCACTGCTGGTCTGAGGGGATGGTGACCCCCATCAGCGTGGCTCTGGGATGGCTGAGCACAACCAGCGCCCATTCCCCTGCCGACGCCCATCCTGGTGCATCCCAAGGCCGTTGGGACCTGCGCCTCTCACACCGTGTCCTTCTCCCCGCAGAGCCGGCACGGCCCCAGCCCGAAGAGGAGGCCAAGGCCCCGCAGGCCCCCTTCCCCTGGGCTCCGTGGCCACCTACGAGGTTCGCTCAGTGACTGTGGCATCCCGGGCAGCAGCGGCCTCCATGGCCCCACTCCCTGCCGGCATCCGCCTCATCGCCTCCTTCTCCAGGGATCAGTGGTGAGTCGGCGCACCCGTCCTGTGTGGCCCGGTGTGTGGTGAGGGCCGCAGGGTGTTTCATTATAAAACTTAGGTGACCCCACCCCCTGTCGAGGCGTCCCCTGTCGTGGGTGCTGGCATCGGCAGGCAGCATCCAGACTTCTGTGTTGTCCCCCATGGTTTCTGTGATAATCATGGACCCTGAGGAAAAATGACTGCCGACTGCTGTTAGAAGTTTGTGAAACAGCTGCGGGCAGAATCAGCTGTGCTCACCCGAGTGTCCTGGTGAACGCCGCACTTTCACACGGTTCAGTGCAGACCAGAACACCACTTTCTGGCCCAAAGTCTGGGCGATCCTCCTGCCTCAGCCTCCTGAGTGCTGGGATCATAGGCATGCACCGTGACGCTCCCTTCTCCTTTCCTGCTCTGAAATGCCTCGTGTGTAGATCCAGGGACCACACCCCCGAGGCAGATGGCAGGGCAGCATCTGCCACTCTGAACACCACACTGCTCTCTGTTGGGAAGGAGAAACTTCTCCTACCCTTTGATGCTGAGTGCTGGGGGCTTGCAAATTAAGCTGACGAAAGACAGGTGAACGGGAGAAGACGGGCTGGGCACATGTGTATGTGTGAGGTTGTAGGAGGGCTGACCAAAACACAGTAGAGTTTGAAAGTCTGTTACATCTGGCCATGTGTCCCCTCGCAGTTCTCCTCGCCTCAAAAATGTATCCCATCCTCCCTGCCCCGTCCTGCAGCAGCTCTGGAGCCCTCTTTCCTGAGGGTCTTTACAAGGTGCGATCAAAAATACAGTGACTATAGCTACTGAGCACCGTCGAGCAGAAAGGCAGCTGATGGAAACCTGAGGCCATGTCCTCGTCCACCTTGGTTACTGGATCTGGGACCGTGTGACTCCGGCTCTTCCCCAGAGTCAAACGGACCACAGCAGGGAAACATTTTGAATCCATTCATGGTGCCGTGGCAGCCAGGACAGAGCAACAAAAGACACTAGTGAAAGAGGTCTCCAGAGCTGCTGCAGGAAGTGGCGAAGGGTGATGGGATCAGTGTGTTCAGGGTGACGGGGAGTTTGAGGGAGTTTGACGGCAATGTGTCTGTTACTATAATAATTTTTTTGTTTTTTTGTTTGTTTGTTTTTTTTTTTGGTACCAGGGATTGAACTCGGGTCCTCATACTTGCGAGGCAGGCAGCAGAACCACTGAGCTAAATCCCTGGCCCTATAATAATTTTTTTAATGTAAACAATCACTGAGTTGTCTTGAGATAAGGTCTGGCTGTGTAGTTCAGGTTCGCCTAAAACTCACTGTGTGGCCCAGGCTGGCTTCGAGCTCAGATTTGGGGCAATCCTGCCTCAGCCTCCCCCACCCAGCTCCTGTGACCCTGACATTTTTTAACGGTTCTAGCCATTCATTTTGTAGGCTGTCCCTCAGTTCAGATATGTGTGGTGTCTCCTTGGGGTCAGATTCAGACTGCATTTTTGGCAGGATCCCCCCACAGAGAGGCAGTTTTCCCACTGACAAAGTAGCCACAAACGCGGGAATGGGAGGCACCGGTGCGGATCTGGTGGTGTCACCGGCACTGTGGGCCTCAGGGTGGACCCGTGGACGTAGGCAGAGAAGCAGCTGCATGTGGGGTAGGGGGCACAGCGGCTGACAGGTCCAGGAGCACATCCGGCCTCCCTCCCTTTCCTGCTAGCGAGAGCCAGGTCCTTGGAGACGCAGCCCTTGCCAGCACCGGCAGGGAAATGCCACCAAATCTGAAACAGCTGATGATGACAGAAAATGAGCAAATGCTTCAAAATGAAGGGACTCTTGCTGGCCAGGTCTAGGACAGTGTGAGAGTTCACATCAGTTGTCAGTGATGGGCCAGGAAACAGGAAAAGCATCCAGTGTGTTCTTCCCGATTAGGACCAGCGCAGGAAGGCTTGCAGGAGGCGGAGAAGAGGTCCCTCCTGCAGGGGGCGCTGTCAGCCAGCCCTGGGTGCAGTGGGTGTGCTGGTGGGGCAGCATGTCTGTGTGTCCTCATTACCACGCGTCCCTCCTCCGCACTTCAGGCAGAAAGCCCGGTCCCACTGGGCAGATGGCACCCTGGCCGGTGACTGGCACTGACCACATCTCTGGTTTTCAAGGCCTTGCCTGACTCACTTCCAGCCAGGCCACTGCGTACAGCCCCATGGTGCTGGGCCGAGCAGGCCCCTGCGAGGGGACCAGGAAGCGTGCCTGGCTGGGTTGTCACTGTCAGGCCTACTCTTTAGCAGGAAACTTGGGGTGAAGTGTCGCAGTGGGCATGTGCAGCCCCGCTGGATCCTTGGACCTGCTTTCTGCTAACAGTTCTGAATATAACTTGAAACAAAATTACAGGGCCCCTCCATTTCCTGGCAGATCCCAAATTTTAACAACAGACACAGGTTCCCTACATGCTGGAGGCCGGAAGTCTAGGGTCTGTGCCCTTGGGGCCCCGCCTCCGTCCTTCCAGGGCCCCTCTCCATCACTGTGCCTTCCCCTGCTCCCCTGAGGACACCACCTGTCGGATTCAGGGCCCACTCGAGTCCAGTGGCTTCACGTTAACCAGTGACGTCTTCGCCAACCTCATCCCAAGTCAGGTCGAGTTTTGGATTGCGAACATAGAGGAAATTCTGGAGGACATCATTCCTCCCCATGCAGGATCCATAAAAAGAGGGTGGTTTCACTTGCGTCCACAGGGATAAGTCCAGGGGAGGAAATCCCGAGGGAGGAAGCTGCTTGCTCAGGACGCCATGGGGTTGGGGTGGCCTCTGGGAAGGACCAACCCAGGGGAGCAGCTGCCACGCTCAGGCAGGAACCAAACTTCCGGCCCCTGGCTCCTCCCACCCCCACAACCCTTGTGAGCAAGGTAAAGTGGGAGGAAGGCTGGATCTGGGGTAGCAGCTAGGTGAAGACAGGTTCCGCCCCAGCACCAGGAATGGCAGGTGTCCTGGTGCTCGCCCTGCCTCTGTGGACAGCTCTGGAGCCACCACAGGGCCTCTGTTTCCTTATGGTGGGGAACACAGGTGTTTGGAGGCGGTGCCCACCCTGTGTGTGCTCCAAGGGGCCAGCATTCCCTGAGGGGTCTCCCTGGGACCTCTTAGCCTGCAGGCTCTACCTCTGTGCCAGGCCCAAGAGGGATGTGGGTCCCACAAGTACAGGTCTCCTTCCCAGCACCCCTGATGACCCTGGACACAGGGGACATTGCTACACACTCAGCCCAAGGCCCCTGAGTCCAAGAGGGGTCAGACGCCTCCTGTGGACGGCAGCCCTGGGAGGTGTGGGGCAGCAGCAAGGCTATCGGGAGCCCCATGCACCCCTCAAGTCCACCAGGCAGCAGGGCTTGGGGAGGGAGAGCCCGGAAAGTGCCCATGCATGTCTCCCCAAGGGAGATGGGGAGCAGGAGTGGACTGCAACGGCAGCAAAATGCCGGGCGAGAGCCCCATAAACAGTGGGTGGGGCTTTGGTGTTCCCAGTCCCCAAGCTCCAGTTCTTTCCTCCCGGAAGTGCGATCTTTTTTATTCTAAATCAGGAGATAGGTATTAGACCGCTAAGTTGGCTGGTGGCCAGGGAAGGCGGCGCCCCTGGGATTCTCAACCTGTCTCTGTGTTAGTCATAGACAGTGTGCCTTGATCAAGTCACCATTAAAATGGAAGTGACCAGCATCCCTGTGGGTTTGGGAAGTGGCCCTGGGGGTGCAGGTCTGTTCTGTGCAGACCGGAAGCAGGGTCAGAGGTGTGGCCGCCCGCCTGCCCACCTTTTGTGCGTGCTTCTCCCGAGGTGCACAGTAAGAACCAGGCATAGACGGGACCTGAAACGCCTCATTACTTTTCTGTAAACTAAATTAATCATTCCTTCTTATCTGCTGTGTAAAAACGCCTGCCTAAAGCACCTGAGTCCCAAAGTGCTCACAGTCTTTTAACGAAGATTTATGCTGTTCATTCTCCGCCCTGCATCCTTTGTATACCCATGCAGCGACAGGGGCTGGGGCTCCTGGGTCCCCACAGGATGGCAGCAGCTTGAGAGCTGGTGTGAGGCGGTTGGAGAGCCTGGGTCCTCCTCAGCAGCCTGACCCCAGCGGTGCCCGTTTGTGTTTCAGGTACCGAGCCTTCATCTTCACGCTGACGTATTTGCTGTACGCCAGTTTTCACTTATCTCGGAAGCCTATCAGCATAGTTAAGGTGAGAAATCAGAAACACTCCCTGTTCATCCCACCTGTAACCTCTGAGGCCTGAGTTTCCCTGAGACGCTGTGGGAGGATGGGTGGAAAAGTGAATGCACAAAGGTTGTCAGGAACAAGCTGCTTTGATGAGTGTTAGAATTACAGAAGGCGCCATGATTTCAGAACTTAGCAGTTCCAGAACTCTCAAGCTGCTAAAGTACTCGTGTTGTCCGGCATGGATTTTCTTTCCAAGGATCCCCGGTCTTACGTGGGTCCCCCCATCGCTCCGACTCGACTTGGCTCAGCTTGACCTGAGTCTGCTGGGGTGGTGGCGCTCTGGGACCCGCAGAGCCTCGAGGTGGGAGGAGGAGGGGAAGCTGCCGGACAGGTGTTTGGCCAGACGTGGATGAGGGAGGGCTGTCGGGGCCAGTGCTCTCTAGCAGCCCTTCACAGCCAGGAAACCAGCAGGAAGGTCCTCCTGGCCTGTGGGCTTGCATGGCTCTCACTCTGCTGTAGAAGGAACAAGGAAACCGTCCAGGCCACACACGGCCTGTTTACTGCTTGATTGGCCCTGGCTTACTCTCCAGCAGTTGGCAGGGAGCAGTTAGGACTGTGACCTCGGTGGCCCAGCTTCCTCCACACCTCGCGGGCGGCTGCGCGAGCATTGACAGCTGCCCACCGAGCTTCCGGCAGCCTCAGTCCACATCCTGCCCCCCAGCAGTCACAGTGGGTGCTGAACCTTCGCTGCTCAGACTGTGCAGTTCCCCCATGACACCTGGCAGCAGGTCGCTGCCTGTGGGAATGTTTGCAGACCTTTGAGAGTGTGGCTTTCGAAAGAGAGATCCGGGTAGGAAAGGAGGTGGCAGCCCGCCCCAGAGACTCTGCTGTCAGCACCATTAACCAGCCCCGGAAATAGCGCCAGGTTGCTCCCCATACAGCGGAGTATAATAAAAATGGAAGTGGCCCGCACGGAGGCCATAGTGAGGCTCTCGGGGTGCCTTGAGGGCTTGAAGAAGGACCTGGAGAGGCAGGGTTTGGATTGTGGGGGAGGCCTGGGTCCCTGTGAGGCTGCAAAGCTCCCTCCCCCAACACCCAGGGCTGGGGGCCACCTGTGTGGAAGGCGGGGCCGGCCCTGGAGGTCTCTGGGGCACGCATGGCTCTTGATTCCATCTGGTGACCCCGAGGGTCCCCGTTTTGCCAGGATGAGCGTAGTTCCAGGTCCCTCACCCGCTGCTTCCCAGGCCCCTGCCTGGGAATGGGCTTAGGACAGGCAGGCTCAAGAGGCATCGTTCCCTCCCGCAGGCAGGGCTTGCCCGGGTGGGTTCTCCCCGGTCCCTGCTCTCACCCACTCTGCCCCAGGCCTCCGGGATGTCCAGTCCCCTGAGCACCGGGTTCTCTTTGACACCTAGGATTTCTGACCTGGCACTGGGTGTGGATTAGCAGAACGCTGCATCCTGTGTCTTCCTTGTTTTGTTTTGTTTGTTTTGGTGACAAGGATCGAACTTGGGCCCTTGTGCTTGCAAGGCAGGCGGCAGAACCACTGAGCCAAAGCCCTGGCTGCTCCTTGTCTTTTAAGACAGCTACAAATAGCACACCACATAAGATAATTTAGGCTTTACGATGCCTTGTAATGTTTTCACAACCTTTTGCTCGTGTCATAAATGATATACATGGTACTGGAATCTAATGATTCATTTGGTCCAAGGAGCAGTTTGGATATTTATCTACAGGTTTGGTTTTTCTGAACTACTATAAAATGCAGAATACCTACTTAAAATCGGTCACCAGGGGTTGAGAATTATAAAATGACTCATTCTGTCATTCATTTATAGAGTAGCACAGCCTATCAGATTAAATCACTGCTGGTTAATTTTATTTTTCTCTTGTTTTAAACAATGGCAACATAAACAGGACCAGAAGGAGGATGGTGTTGGGTGCCTGAGCTTTTCTCTGCTTTGCCAAAGCCTCAGGATCTGAGGCTCTATCTGCCTGGGCTGGTGCACAGGTGGGGTCTGTCCCTGCCTGGGGAGGTCTTCTCAGAACCCTGTACCCCTGTGCTGGGCACGAGCAGGGGCCTGTGAGCTGGGCACTTCTTAGAGAAGCTTTTCTAAGCTGAGAAACTGGTGGGAGTGTGGGTAGAAGAAAATGATTAAACCCTCCAGGCACACAGAAGACAAGTCTTCAAAGCTAGAGGGGCACACCAGGGCTCTGGAGGGGACAGTCCCAGCCCTCCCTCAGAGTCCTCACCAGTGATTCTTTTTTGTTCGTTTGGGTTTTTGAGTCAGGGTCTTGCTATATAGTTTAGGCTGGCCTGGCCTTGGAAGTCACTGTGTAGCCCAAGCTGGCCTTGAACTTGCTACAGTCCTCCTGCCTCAGCCTCCCAAGTGCTGGGATTACAGGTGTGCACCACGATGCTTGGCCACCAATGATTCTTTTTAATTGGCTAAAATATGAAAGTGGATAGGAATTAATCACCAAGACAAATATGAAAAATCATATTTTATGAAATGAAAAAGATTAATATGTTCTTAAATACCATTATCAAAGTATGATATTCCATGAGAATAGACAAAGTGGTCAGTAGAATGAAACAGAAAATACGAAATGTTTGAGCAATCACAGGAAGTGTGGTTTATGTATTATTTATTTTTTTGGTGCTGGGGATTGAACCCAGAGCCTTGCATATGCTAAGCACATGCTCCATCTCTCAGCTATAGCAAAAATTGTATGTTCATCTATAAGACAGAGAAGTTAATTCCCTAGCAAAAAATCAGTGGATGGATTAAGATTTAAATGTATTTTGAGACTGGGTCTCACAGAATTGCCTGGGCTGGCCTCAAACTTGCAATCTTCCTGCTTCAGCCTCCTTGAGTACTGGAATTTATCCATAGTAAAGCTCAGAAGTGTTAAGTGCCTGGTTTGACAGGTCCTGGCCTGGGCTCCCATCCCTGAGGTGAAGGCGTGGGTCCTTTCCAGCTCCCAGAAGGCTCCTGTGCCCTCTCCGAGGGCCCCTTCCCAGGAAACCCAGGTCTCACCTCTGGCATCGTGGATTGGCTTGTCAGGCTCAGAACCAATTACGGAGGAGCCATGCAGTTCCTGCCCTTCCTCGCGGGCTTCCTCTTCTGCATATGAAGTTTCCGGTCCCCACCATGTGGCCTGGGCCTGGCTCTCTCCTTTCCACTGTCCTCTGCACTTCTTGAGCAGTGTGGACCTGGGCCAGCTCGGGCAGGTGGCCCGGGGCCCCAGGATCCCGGCTGGCAGAGCTGTGACAGAGCACACATCCTTGCTGGCCTTTGGAAGGCTCTTGTCAGCTGTGTGTCCCAGGAGTGGCTTGCAGGGCCTGCTGTCACCTTGGAGGGGCTGCAGTCTGTGCCCCAGGCTGGCCTCTGACTCTCCTGTCCCGTGCGCCCCAGGGTGAGCTCCACAAGCACTGCACCTCGGGGGATGAGGCTGCGGCCAGACCCAGCCACCAGAGCGACAGCACCGGGCTTGCCGCCCCTCACCAGCTCCAGGACAATGGGAGTGACTGTGGCTGGGCCCCTTTCGGTGAGTCTGCTCTGGCCCTGTGGTCTGGGCGCCCTCGAGGCCCATCCTGTTGGGGCTCTGGGCCTTCCCGACTTCGGCGCCCGAGTGCCATCCCCATGTGTAAAGACAGCTCTGTCCTGCCACCAAGTCTGCAGAGTAAGATGTTCTAGTGCCTGGGGGCGTCTGGACCTGCAAAGCAGAGCTGGGGACACAGCTGGGGAAATGCTCGAACATGCAGCGTGCATCACAGGCGTGCTAGGAGTCTTGAAATCCGTGGTTGACTTTCTTTCCTTTTGCACAACACCCAGGCTTTGTATTGCACAGCACTTCTCCAGAACTAAGCAATACTGGTCCATTTTCAAACCCCTGTAGATAAGGACAACTATCAGCAGCTGCTTGGAGCCCTGGACTATTCCTTCCTGTGTGCCTACGCCGTGGGGATGTACCTGAGGTAGGTCGGTGGGCCAGGCAGGTAGCTGCACTGTGTCCACAGCAGGGCCTCAGCCAGTGACCGTGCCCATCTCCCTGGGCCACATTTCCCTTTGCGAGGTGGGGACTGTGTGACGGTATCATGGCAAGGACAGGACGAGGTGAATTCATGCCCGGAGAAGCCTGCCTGGCCCGTTCGCAGCTTTGGCTGGCTGACCTGGCAGGGGTCGGTCAGGGGACATGCTGGCCAGCAAGGTCCTTGAGCTGTCGGCCCAGCCTCCCAGGGCCAGGCTTCAGGCCAGAGGCTTCTGTTCAGTGACAGAGCTCTTCAGTGTGCTGAGGCTCCCAGGACCCTGTAAACGCTCCAGGCCCTCCCGGCCCGTGAGACCACTGTCTGGCCCTTCCGGCTCAGTGGCGGCTGGAGCACATAGTCCCTTTGCTTTTCGGGGTGCTCCAGCAGGAGCCCAGCTTGCAGAGCACCATGTGGCCTTGCCTTGGCAGGGTCTGAGTTGGCTCCCAAGCCCTGTCCCCTGAGGCCTTATTCCCCTGCTAAAGACCACACCTTTCTTCACTGATAGGGGGCGTACAGACCACCAAGTGGGCATGTGCTTTTCTCAGTTTAGATCTGAATCTCAGCTGGGGTGAGCTTGACCTCTAGGGGACCTTAGGAATGTGTGGGGACAGCTGGGAAAGGGGGTGCTGCTGGCATCTGGTGGGTGGAGACCAGGGGTGTTGCTGACCGTGCTGTGCCACCTAGGGGTGGCTCTCTCCAAAGAAGTGCCCAGCCTGGGACATCAGTGGTGCTTTTGGAAACCCTGGCCAGGGTAAACACAGTGGCTTTGTTGTCGGTGTGCATTGGCACAGGTGATTGTCCTGGTGTTCATCAGTGAAGTCACAGATGTGAAGGATGTAGTTAGTGCACAGGGTACATACACCCTGCCCAGCTGAGGGCTCTGGGTGACCCCCAGCCTGGCAGAGCTCGCTTGGGTGGCAGCTGCAGGAGGGCTCCCCACACAGTGCTGATTCTGCGTGACTCGTGCAGTCGTGGCCCATGGGCACAGCCTGCGTCACGCTGGCTGGGCAGGTGTGGCTCGGGTTGAGTCCCTGCATTGGTCTGATGTGATGTGGAATGGTGTCCATTCCCTTAGACCTGTGTATCGTTTCTTGTGCTGTTTTTTGGTTGTGTGTGTGTGATTTTTTTTTTTTTTTAGACAAGGTCTCACTATGTAGTTCAGACTGGCCTTGAACTCACTGTGCAGCCCAGGCTGGCCTGCAACTCATGGTAATCCTCCTGCCTCAGCCTCCTGAGTCCTGGGATTACCACACCTAGCCAGATCTGTGCTTTAAAACCTTTGAGAAGAGGTCAGACAGGGTCTCAGGCCTGTGTGGCAAGACAAGAGCCTCTCCCTAAGCCTGGCCCCTGCCACCAGCTCCCAGGCGCCCACCTGATCAGCCCCTGGTGTGTGGTGTGGGTAGGCGTGCCAGCCCCTCTGAGCCTCGTTCCTGCCCTCGGAAGCCAGCAGTAGGAACAGAGAACTCAGCTCTAGAACGCCCTGGAGTCTGTGTGGCTAGGTTCCGCTCTTCTGAACATTTGGCCCGAATGTGATTTTTTATTTTTGTGCTGGGATCAAACTCGGGCCCTTGTGCTTTCAAGGCAAGCGGCGGAACTACAGAGCTAAATCCCCAGCCCTTTCTTTTCTTTCTTTTTTTTTCTTTTTTTCCTGGTACTGGGGATCGAACTTGGGACCTTGGGCTGCTTACAAGGCAGGTGGCAGAACCCCTGAGCTAAATCCCTGCCCTTCAAATGTGTTTTTTAATTTTCAGTTGCTTCCTTCTGTGTTTAAAGGTTTTGTGGTAGATGTCCTGTGGCAAACTCAGGAGGAAAAGCCACCCCAGTATTGGTTCTTGTGATAAAACACAGCAGCATTCGTGCGGTGGTGTATATCCCCAGCACTCGGGAGGCTGAGGCAGGAAGACCGGCACAAGTTCAAGGCCAACCTGGGCCACATAGTGAGTTCAAGCCCAGCCTGACTGCATAGGGAGACCCTGTTTCAAAAAACACAACGAAACAGACACACACAAAAAAGACAGCAACACTGGGGCCAACTCAGCCCAGTGTGCTGCCAATGGCAGGGTACAGTGCCTGCCCTGTGCTCCTACCCCAGACCCTGAGCATGATTATGTAAAAGGACACGCAAGTTTCAATGTCATCTGTGTTTTCCTGCTGTGTTTTCTTCATTCACATCACACTGGGCAGCATGGTGTGTCTTGTGTAGTCGTTAGTGTGGGTGACGCTGGCCACAGCCCCTTCTGTGTCTGGCTGGGCCCTTGTCACTGTGGCTGCCACTGTCCTAGCAATGGGCTGAGGCTGCTCCGTGAGCCCAGCCAGCTCTGGGAGGTGAGATCCCAAAGAGCCAGCTCACTGTGGCCAAGATGCCACCCCAGGCCCTCTGATCTCGCCTGATGGGGTGCGGCCCAAGTGGCCTGGCCGAGGTGTAGGCAGAGCAGGGGTCGTTTCCCTCTGGCCACCAGCCTGATGCAACCGAGCAAGTGGCTCAGGTGTGGCCCAGGGCCCGGTGACCCCCTTCTGTGACTCTGGTCTGCTGTGTCTGTTGGAATATAAGCTATGCACGTTGACTGGATCGTGTTCAAAACGAGCAAGACCAGCTTTGTTTTCTTTCACTGGTCACATTCAGGTCACAGTGACTGTGTTTTGTTGTGTGGCGGTTGGTGACTTTGCCTGGAAGCAGGAAGCCCTCTGGGTGTTGCCATGCCACTCCGGGTGAGGGGCACCGCGGGGCACAGCTGTGGCCGGTCCTCCCAGGAACTGGCACTCCCGAGTTCTGGGAGCTCAGGGACAGCGCGGGGGCAGCGGTGGGCCATTTACCTTCAGGGTGTGTTTCTCTCTCATGTTTGTCTTTCCTCCCGTCCCCAGCGGCATACTGGGGGAGCGCCTGCCCATCAGGTACTACCTGACTTTCGGGATGCTGGCCAGCGGGGCCTTTACCGCCCTCTTCGGGCTGGGATATTTCTACGATATCCACAGTTTGGGATTCTACGTGGTCGCTCAGGTAAGGGCCCCGTGGCTGCTCAGGGGCCAGGTCCCGGCTTGCCGCATGCGGGGTTCTGTCACAGCACCCTGCCGTCTCAGCAGGGTGGGAGGCAGGGCAGGTGGGCAGGGCCGCTGGCACCGAGGGCCCTGCCTTCTGCTGCAAAATGCCACCAGCCGAGAGGGTTTCTGGCTTGAGGAGAGGTCTCTAAGAAATCGTGTTTGTCATTCGGTGGCAGCAGGGAGGGGGGCTCGTGGAATGGGACTGGAAGAAAGTAGAGATCCCGGAGGTATAAGAAGAGGAGGCCCGAACATGGCCGAAGCACTGCCCGGCCCTTTCTCTCTTGACTCTGCCCTCCCGGCCGTCTTGTGGATAAATATTGACCAGCAGTGAAAATAACAATGACCAGCTGTGGTACTTGACAGTCTATCCAAACAGCCGGGCCAGTGTCATAAAATCATCATAGCAGATTGATTTAATTTTGCTTCTTCCGATTTTGCCCTGACACTGAGAACGCTTGGCTGTTTACAGGGGTGATTCGCATGCACATCACTGCCCTGCAGTGTGTGGGGGGCCATCACCACCTGGGGGGGGGCTGGTTTCCGGTGCTCCAGGGTGGCCCGGAGCGCCCCCTCCTGGATGTGCCGAGTCCCTTCCGAGAGCTTTGGGCCCTGTGTTCTGCAGGGCTCTGTTGGTGTCGGAGGAGCAGTAACAGCACTGGTGGTGTGGTCAGGGAATGTGACCCTTTCCAAGTCATGTTTCATAGCGCAATTTATAAACTGCTCTATAAAAAGACCAAAAGTTTGCTCCCTCCATAAAATTTTTAGAATCAGAAAGGCTGGAATCTGGGAGTGGTGGTGCCACTGAATCTATCCCAGAAATAGCTGCTACTGGCAGCCCACCTGCATGGTTGTCCCGACTCCCCAACCCTGCCCTTATTTTTGTTTTGTTTTGCAGTACTGTGGCTTTTACCTGAGGCCTTTGAACAAAACTACATCCCTAGCCCCTTTTTTATATTTTATTTTGAGACAGAATCTTACTAAGTTGCTAAATTGCCTAAGCTGGTCTCGACCATGTAATGCCTCAGTCTCCCAGAGTACTGGAATCTCAGGTGTGCAACACCACGCCCAGGGTTCCTGTTGGGCCCAGCATGAGGCTTCTCTTTTGTCCGCTCACCCACAGGTCATCAATGGACTGGTGCAGACCACGGGCTGGCCCAGCGTTGTCACCTGCCTCGGCAACTGGTTTGGAAAAGGAAGGTGAGAAGCAGCAGCCCGCTGCCCAGTAGCAATTATCATTAAAGGGGTCCAGTGAGGACCAGACCACTCTGTTTGGAGCTCTTCTTTCCGGGCCTCTTCTGTACGGCAGGGGGCTGGAGGCTCAGGGCTCCTAAAGCCCTCCTGGGGCTGTGCCGCTGTACGTAGAGCTCAGCCTCCTGCATGGGACCACACCCGGGCTCCGGGGCTCATGGGAGTCCAGGGCCCCCAGGCCAAGTCTCCTCTGTAGTCCGGGAATCTGCAGTCCTGACCCAGTCACCCAGTCCGGAAGCTGCAGGGTTGGGAGGTGCAGCTCTCAGGACCTTGGTGAAGTCACCAAGGAGAGAAGTCACACCAGACAGAGAAGCTAAAACGGGCAGCAGCCCCGGAGCCCAATTTAGAAACCGCTGCAGTCCCGGGGCGGGCACACCCACAGAAGCTCCCATCCATGAGGTAGCTCAGCAAAAGCTGTGTTTAGCTTCTAGGGGCACCCTTGACATCCGGGCCTTCCAAGAACACCAGGAAAAGGCCTCCTTTCCCCTCTCTTCCCTTCATAACTATAGACTAGAGACACCCCAAGGAAGAGGAACGTGACCGGGCTACGGCTGTCCTGTGCGCGTGCGCCCCTCAGCGCACCCTGTTTTCTTGTGTTGCAGGCGCGGCCTGATCATGGGGGTCTGGAACTCCCACACCTCTGTGGGCAACATCCTGGGCTCCCTGATTGCCGGCTACTGGGTGTCCACGTGCTGGGGCCTGTCCTTCATGGTACCTGGGGCCATCGTGGCCACCATGGGGATCGTGTGCTTCCTCTTCCTCGTTGAACGTAAGCACAGTACTCGTGGCCTAGAGGTGACTGTGGAGAGTGAGGGGCAGGGCACGGTGCCAGCTCTGTGCCTACCTCTCCAGGTGGCCGGATTTCCTGCCGTCTTGGCACTGCGCTGAGCAGTCAGATCCTTCCTCCTTGTCCTCCTGTCACGCCCTGTCCTCTGCGTCAGGCTCGGGATCATGGTGCGTGTCTCGGGCCCACACCCAGCCAGCGTGGCTGCCCTGCTCATCGGCTTCCTCCCCAGCTGGGATGCCCAGGTGCCTCCCCAGTAAGCTTATCCCAGACAGCGCTGTAAACCATGGGGACGGAAGGCCGCAGAGCCTACTTAGCCAGAGTTCTACTGGAAAATTAAATTCCTCATTTGGTTCCAGAGTCAGTACCAAACTTCGGGCTGAACAGATTTTGAAATCACTTTTTACAGTAGCGATCTGGCCCCACAGGACTTGCGTGGCTGGGCTATGACCGAGGAGCCAGCCTTCTCCAGCCCGGTGAGCTCTGATCACTCACTCGGCATCTTATTCCTCATCTGGTCCCCCGAGGAGAAGTCGGGACGGCTGGTCAGGGTCAGGCCGGTTTCCTCTGTCCCTCCTGACACACCCGGTAGCGTCTCATCCAAGAAAGGATGCATATTCGATTTGGTTTCTCACTGCTTTTTCCCTGTTGCTGAAGCCAAGCTCTGAATTTTAAAAATAACCACCATCCAGCCGAGCTGGGGCTGTGCAGCTCCTGGGTGGCCTCCAGAGTGGGTGAGACGGAAGCTCACTCTCAGGGTGGGACTGGCAGGCACACCTGTGGGTGTGGATGGGGCCTCGGCATGGCAGGTGCCTGACTTCAGGGGCAGAGCCCGGCTTCCAGTCTGTCCCCCATGGCCTCCTTCCCTGCTTTATGTGCACACTTGGTTCTTGGTGGAGACAGACGTCTTGTCTGCACCGTTCCTATTTTTAACGAATTCAACAATCTGTTATGACCACTGTCCTAACCTCTGCCCTGATACTGTGGCTCTGCATTGATTTACTTGCCGCACTATGGCATCTGGAATTTGGTGGCGGCGACCGGCCACAGCCTCTTTCCACACTGGGGCTGGCAGTCGGGGGCCGGCTGGGCTGGCTTGAGGGGGTGCACTGCGGTGCTGTCTCCTCACCTGCAGCCTTCAAGTCTTTCTCGCACCTGTGCCTGTTTGGTGAAAGCGGCTGATGACATCCTGTTCCTTTCCTTGTGTGCACTCACGGTGTACAGCGTGATGTTTGGGGACACGGGAACAGGAAGAGGTTACTACTGCAGGGTGGCAAGCTGATGCAGCCACCAGGCCATCAGCCACCGGGTTTTGTTTCCTTAGGGACTCCTGCCGTGGTGGGCGTCGGGGTCTCTGGTGCTTTCTGTGCTCAGGAGGCTCTCCTGTTTGCTCTTTCAGATCCCAAGGACATCCGGTGCACCTCCACTCTGACCGCGGTAAGCCTCTCGGGAGGGGCAGTCACCTGGTCCTCTGTGGCTGGGCAACAGGCCCTCCGAGGAGCCAGGGGTGGGGCTGGTCATGTGTCCCCGGCTACATCCGGGCTCGGTGTGAGGGGGGAAGTGCCAGATGAGGCGGCTGGTGTCACTCAGTCGGGTGCTGTGCTTCGCGGCTGGTCCTTGCCTCTGTTAAGCTGCACTCTGTCCCTTTCCTGCTGTGCTGTCCCGATGGCCAGCAGCACCAGCCCCCATTCTCCTGCCTCCTGAGGCCCTGTGCCCCTTGCCAACTCCCTGGCACCTGCTCCCCCGCAGCCTCGCCCCTCCCCTGCCTCTCCCTCCGGGCCCGAAGGGTCACTCACGCACTGCATGCTGCTGGTCGCCATTCAAGAAGAAAGTTCCTCCCACCCTGCACCCTGCTCAGGCAGCTCCCTCACCGGCTCTCTCACGTGGCTCCTCTTCTCCTTGATCTTCCCTCATCCTCTGAACTGGGCCTCAAGTCAGCCACAGCAAGGCCTGGTCCATGATCTCGCGCCCCCCGCTCCATATCTTACTTGCATCGATGCCCTTGTCCATCTCCTCCCTCTCCTCGTGAAGTGCTGGCCATGGCTTCTGGTCACCATGCCCTCCTGGTCTACAGAAACATGCTCGCTGGTCCCATCTGGGTGGACTGCTTTGTGGGCCCCTCTGGAGACCCCCAGCCTCCCCGTCCTCACCGTCCTCAGGCAGGAACACCCGCCCAGCCCACAGTTTGCATACGTGTGACAAACCGGGAGGAGATGTAACTCCCGAACCTGCTCCGTATCCAAAACGCAAGTTCGTCTTCTCTAAACTCGAAGAATGGATTCTAGGAACAATGGAGGTCAACAGTAGGAAAAGTTTGGAGAGAAAAATAGCTTCTGTATATAAGAGACAGAAGCGGGACAGGAAGGTGGTTGCCTGGGGACCCTGTTTCCCAGGGGGGTTTATGGAGCAAGGCCAAGAGGTAAGGTGGGTTCGAGGTGGGACAAAATTATAGTCAACTAATGAGATTACAAGTACAGTCACTTAGGTGATATTGGTTGAATGGGAAATCACAAGGCAGGCATGAGGTGGGACAAAACTGTGGTCAACCAGTAAGATTACGACAAGTACAGTCGCTCGGGTGATATTGATTGAATGCGGATCCGTGGGTAAGCAAATCACGCCGCAAGTGTACAAGGAACAAACAAGGGTTTCCAGGAAGGGGTGGGTCAGAGAGCTTTCCTGGAAGGGATGGGTCGAGGTCTCGGCCCCCACCAGGTGCTTGGTGCCTGTGTAGTGCTGGTGGCCACTCTTCTCCCTAGGGGAAGTGTGCGGGTGTAGCCGTGTCTCTTTGTAATGCTGGTCTTCAGGGAAAGTGGCCCCACTGTCCTTCACCCTGACTCCTCAGGCAGCCTGGTCTAGCTACCCACAAGATATCCAATTAAGGGCTGGGGATGTAGCTCAGTGGTGCTGCCACCTGCCTCCCAGGCACAAGGTCCCAGGGTTGATCCCCTGTACCAAAACAAAAGACATCCAACTAACCTTCCTGTCTGTGATACTTCACAGCTGACCCCGACCAGAGCGGACCTGAATTTCACCCGTCCCCTGGTGCCCCATATTGTGGTCAAGGACTGGCCATACCCAGACAGGCAAACCAGGGGTCACCCGGCCCCTTCCCTCAGCCCCAGGGACCCCTGCTGGGTCCTCTCATCCTGCTCAGCGGGGGTGGCGGCGTGTGCAGTGTGGACACCCTCACGTCATCTGTCACCTGTCTGAGCTCCTGAGCCGTCCTCTCCCTCCTGCCATCCACATCTGCCCCTCATTCTCTACCTGCGAACTCTTCTGAAAGCAGAAGCCAGAGCTTCATGTGCAGGCCTAGGCCTGTAATCTCAGCACTTGGGAGGGGAGGCTGAGGCAGGAGGATCTCCCTGAGTTCAAGGGCAGCCTAGGCCACATCGTTAAGACCCCGTCTCAAAAAACAAAAACAAAACAAAAGGAAAAAAAAAAGAGCTGGGGATATAGCTTCATGGTGGAACACCACTGGGTTCAGTCCCCAAAACCACAAAAAAGCACTCAAAGCCAGAACAAGTCACAGCCTTGTCTGGTGTCATTCAGGATAAAATTCAGGATTAACACCTGTCTCCCCCGTAAGTGTAGGCGCCACACAGGGAAGGTTCCCGGAGTTGGATCTGAGCCCAGCCTGCCCATTGCTGGACACTGACTGGGCCTTTAGTCCAATTTATTTGAAGAGGTTTGGGCACTTCATGAAACAAAAAGTAAAAATTAGAAAATTCTGAAAACCACTGCACTCTGGAAGATCTGACACAGTATGAATTTTTAAAAAACTAGTCACTGTTTGAAAATATCCATGCCACCTTCCTGCCAGGCTGTGAATGCCAGCACCCACACTCTCAGAGATGTTGGCCTTGTCTGTTGTTCTCAGGACCACACAGCTAGCACTGGGCGCTCCCTCCTGCCCGGGGCTGGCCGGGGCCAGGTGATGGGGAAGACTTTCGGAGCGTGGCTTCCTCCAGCTCCTGGTGGACAGTGGGCTCGAACACCCGGTGTCACAGACCTGGGGCTGCGGCCTCTGTCTTCTTTTCTCTCTGTGTCCTCCATGAGCTGTTCCCTGAGATCCCTGCCCAGCCCAGCTGTCTTTTCTCCAGGGAGCCACCCACAGGCCCACCCAGGGCAGGGCTGCGCCCTCTCCCTGTGCCCGGTCACACGGGAAGGTTGGCTCATTTCTGGGGGCCTGGAAACAGCTTCTGCAGACAGCCCAACGCCCTCTCCTGAGAACGGCACCCACCCTGTGTAAGCCCTTCTCCCCCATGGTACCGGTCGAACCCAGTACATCCGGTACATCCCCAGGCCTTCGGGGCCTCGCTGAGTTGCCTGGACTGGGCTTGAACCCGTGGTCCTCCTGCCTCAGCTCCCTGAGCGCTGGGATTCCAGGCGTGCGCCTCCACACTGCCCCGGGTCCTGTGTAGCTCCTGTCCCGCCCCTCTGTGTCCTCCCTGGTCTTCCCCGGGGCTTCTGTGTGAGGCAGAGCCACGAGGAAGATGCTTCAGGTGTGGGATTTGCTCTAACAAGCCGCGTCCCGGCCGGTTCCCATTTGGAGGTGTGGTTTTTTTCAGGAAAAAGTCCTTAATTTTTCCAATATTTTCAAGGTTTTGTTATACAATTTAGAAACAAAATATAAAAATAATAGTACGGTGCGCCCCCTCCCCCGTACCCAGAATGATCTTGAAAGAATGAAGTCGGGGGACTCATGCACCCCAACTTCCAAGCCTGTCGCAGGCGCGGAGACTGGCCCTGTCCTGGTGCAGTGCGGAGCAGTGACGGATGGAGCCCGGCTTCCCGCACCCGGGGGCAAGGGAGGTGGGCACCACGCACCTCTCTGCGGGCAGAATGGACCGAAGACCTGACAGCTTTTAGAAGGCACAGGCAGGGCCTGCAGGTCAGAGCTTTGGCAGGGGTGGCGCCAGGGCGCGGGTGTTCTGGCGTGAGTATCGCAGCACCATGGGGAAGCTTTAAGAAAAGAGGTTTACAGTGGCTCCTGGTTCTAGAAGCTCAAGGTCAAGAGTCACCCAGCAAGGGCCTTCCTGCCCACAGGGTCTGTGCTGTGTGGTAGGAGGCCAGAGCGTGCCTCTGCCTGTTCCCTGGTCTCTGTCCTGAGGAAACCGCCGTGGGGGCCGCACTGGTGAGCTTGTCTGACCCTAATCGCCACCCACAGGCTCCACCTCTTCGTGCCCTCATCCTATCTCACAGGAAGCCTGGGGGTGCCCAGAGCACCCCCCAAACAGAGCCTGGCAGGAGAAACAGGGATCAGCTGGACTCCATCAGAATTTAAAACTTTTGTGTTCCAAAGACCACTGCGAAGAAAATGAAAAAGCTCACAGAATGGGGGAAGTCAAGCCAGACACTCAAATCCACGAAGAGCTCTTAATGCCCAGTAAGAAAAACACAACCACATTAAAAATGGTCTGAGGGTCCAGTAGTCGTCCCTCCTGGGAAGTTACACGTGGTCTCTAAGCAGGTGGTCAGCACCAGCCACCAGGGAAAGCCACAGCGGACCCACTTGTCCCCCAGTGGGACGGCCAGGGTGAGAGTGGGAGACAGGTATCGACTGGGCGTCGGAGGACCAGTACTCAGAGCCTGCTGGCGGCCAGGGGCGGTGGGTGCTTAGCGGGCTCGGCATAGTTAGCCTGGGGTGTAGCGGGTCCCCCGAGAATGTGCGTAGGTGGAATCGTGCCCACACAGGAGCGGGAAAGGGTCACTGCTGTGACAGACCAGAGCTGGGCACTGGTGGGCACCGTGTGAGCCTGAGACTGCAGCGGGAGGAGGCTGGCCACAGAAGGGCGCAGTGGGTACAGTTCCACTCGTGTGATGATCTAGGATGGAGCTTGGGCGCGACAGAAGGCAGATCGCGGTGTGGACCGACTCCCACCTCCTCACGGCGCCAGGGCCATCTGTGGCTGTCCAGCCGTGCTCAGGTCTGCGCTGTGTTTAAACAACCCAGCCGGGCCGCCTCCAGCCTCCGGTCAGTATGTCTGGCGGACAAGGTGCCCGTATTTATCCTGTGTCTGTGCTGCTTTTCTCCTTGGGATCGTCTCTGTTGAGGGAGCAGGCGTTTGCCCTGCTGTGGTTCCCATGCTGGGGCTTTGCAGCCACATTCTCCGGTGTGTGCAACCCGCACACGGTGGCTCTTCTGTGAACTGGCAGCCTTGATCCAGAGTGGATCTTCCCAGTTAGTTCTTGTTTCAGATGAGCCACAGTTAAGAAATGGGAGACAGCATCCAGGGGTTTAAGACATGGCCCCTTACACGTCTGCCCTGAGCTGTGGATAGCAGGGAGTTGAGCTTCGGTTTTATTTGATCCCTTCATTACTTGGGTTTGGGGTATCTATCGGGACTAGGACCTGTATTGGGTCCACAATCTCACGTTAGGGTTTTGGGAAATTTAATGTCTGTTTATTGTGGTACTGGGGATCAAACAGAGGGCTTTGCACATAATAGCAAGGGCTTTACCGCTGACCTATATCCCCGGCCCTCCGTGTCTCCCTCCCTCCACCCGCTTTCTTTCTCCTTCTTTCTTTCTTTTTCTTTCAATCTTGTTAAGTTGCCCAGGTCACCCTCAAACTTGAAACCCTCCTGCCTCCACCTCTGAAATAGGAGGAGTTGACCACCAACCTGACCGTTCAACATGTGACGCTTTTTATCTTCCTATTAGTTGGAATCAGGGTCAGTGGGAAACCATAGGAAAATCCCAGGGCTGTGGCTAAAACAAGGTAGAAAGTAGTTCTCTCCTGTCTCCCGGAAGTCCAGAAGCAAGCAGCCCAGTTGGTGTGTGCGTCCTGCCGCAGGATCCTCCTGCCCACGGAATGAGAGTAGTGCCTGGCGCTGTGTGCCCCTGGATGAAGGCTGGGCTCTGCTGACAGGAAGAGACCTGGAGATGCTGGCACCTGGGCACAGCGCAGCCCCTCCATCCTGTGCTTGCCCCTCAGTTCGCCCTGCCAGCCCCTTGTCCTCTTGTAAGCACAAAACGCAAATATGTCTTAAAACACACAGATTTACATTTTCAGATAGTGCGATAATAGTTCTTTAGCCCTCAAATGGCTTCCGAGGGGAGACTCCCGGATGCCAGTGTGGGAGTCCATTGGGAATCTAAATGGAGCTCAGCAAACTTGGTGCCTGCTCACCTGTGCCAGCCTTCCGGGCCCAGCGCTGAAAGTCTAAGTTGCCGTAGAAATTGTTTTACTAGGATTCACACCAGTGTGAACAAGTCACTTCCTTCTGCGTATGGAATGATTCCTTATTTTCAAGGAAGCTCATCTCAACTATTTCATAAAGAACAATGAAATTTTACCAGTAGGGAATTTTTTTTTCCACTTTATACCCTGAGTTGTTAATCAGAAGGGTTTCTGCACCCATGGGGTCCCTGAGAGATATCAGATGGGAGACGGTGCCCTCGTTTCTTCTCCCCGCTTGGTGATGGAGCTGGTGTGGCACGGAGACCCCGAGGCCGCGCCCACCCCACCCCAAGCTCTGCGCTGAGCCAGCCGTGCAGCTCCACCCGCTTCTACTTGGAAAGGAAACACTGGCCTGTGCTATTTCCCAGGCCCTTTCTATTCAAAACCGTCAAAAAGCCAAAGCTGTTATGGAAGCCGAGGTCACCCTCATGGGCATTTCCGTTTCTTCCCCCTTCATCTTGGTCTGAGGGAGTTATTTTCACATTCTGTTACAGGGGCGGAAGCCTGGAGATCCAGCTGATCAGCCTGCTGCGTTATCTGAATCATTTGTGTTTTCTCCTTGTAGCTTCCTTCTGACGACAGCATCTATCCCTGCTAAGGAGAGTTGGGCTTGATTGCTGACTATCGATTCAGTAATGGCAGTAATTAACTTTTCTTCTCCCAGCATTCGAAAGCCTACGAGAACGGTACCAACAGATTTAGACTCCAGAAGCCGATGTCACACAGCGAGAAGAGCAGGCCCCTGGTGAGTCTTCTGCCCGGGTACTGCCAGCCCCGCCGGAGCCTTTACCCGATGAGTTTCCGTGTCCTTCTCCAGTGGGATGTGCGATTGTCCACGCTAGCCTTCTCCGGATGCTGAGCTAAGCGAACTTCATGCCTGTAGTCCAGCCGAAGGCCATTCAGGCCCCCTCCTCAGGTCCCCTGCCCAACACCGTGCAGGCGTGGGACACAGTGTGGAGCCAGAGAGGGCAGAGATGCCCCCACAGGGCCCTGGCTCCGGGAAGGCTGCTCTCAGCAGGCAGCATCGGGCGGGGCTGTGAGGGGAGGACTCAGGTGCTGGCAGAGAGAACACCAGGCCGGGGGCATCTCGGTGTGCGAGGGGAGCAGGGAGGAGTCGCATCACAGAGGCAGGAAAATGGAGAAAGGGGTGAGCTAAAGGACCCCCATTCTACAGAGGAGCAAACTGAGGCAGCCGTCCCGTGTCCCTCTCGATGCTTCTCCAAGCTCCTGGCATTCCTAGCTCGCTGCACCGATCTTAGATTTTGGTTTATCGTTGGGATTATGAGCAGCTTTCTCACCCATCAAATGTTTGAAAGGTTAAGTGTACCAACAACAAGCGTCTTGCTTTTTTCCCTTTACTGCCCGGGCAATTTATTTGTGGTGGCTGAATAGAAGAGGGTGGGTGATGCCTCTAGCCCCTGGGTCTCAGTGACTCGCTCAGCAAACGCAGCAGGGCCTCTGCCCACTTCCGATCAGCCTTACGGAGCGCATCCTGGTTGGTGTCCACAGCAGCCACACCTCGCTGCTGGCAGTGAGAGCCCGGGCTTCCGGTGTGCTGCTGGGAGAAGAGCTCCACGCGCTGCCGCTCCTGTGAAAGCCTGTTTCCCACGGCGCCTCCTGAGAGCCAGTTGCGTACGTGGACACGGGCAGGTCTCGTACCAGGCCAGCGGGCACAGGGGTCTGGAGCAGAGGGTTCGGGCCGAGAAGCCCCGACCCCTGGAGGGCTCCCGAGTGAGGGTGGCTGTCTTGTCTGCCTGGTTGCTTCTTGTTGGCTCTGGAGGGAGTCAGGGGTGCCCGGATTTGTTTTGGGAACCCACCTGGCTTTCCCATTTCCTGCAAGCTCGCAGCTGGATTCGGTGCTGGGTGCCCGGCTGGGGAGCAGCGCTGTGGTGCTCAGCTCTGGGCCAGCCCAGCGAGCGCTTTGCACGCTCAGGAGGCGCTGTGGTGGCCGCAAGCCTCTGGACACATTCTGCGCTTTGTTTCTCTCTGTCGTGCGCTGGTGTCCTGCAGCTCTGGCTCAGTTTGAGGTCCAGTCCGGGCCTGGGGTGTCCCGGTGGCTGCTGCAGCGGAGCTCGGCCGGCCCGGGCATCAGGAGCGCCCTGTGTGGCCTTGGGGAGCTGAGTCAGTGAGATTGCACCCCAAACCCCGGCCGTAGCTCTTTGTCTTCCTCCACCCCCAGGGGCTGGGCTAGGGAACGATGTTCAGCAGTCACAGCTGGGGTTTGGCATCTGCGCCCCCAGAGGCCGGAGGGTCTGCTGTGAAAGGTGCCGGTCAGGGACCCACTCTGACGCCACAGTCCCAGTCAGGGAGCCACAAGCTGACGCTGACTGCCCGCGCCAGACTGCAGTTGCTGCAGCTGCCGCCCGTGTCCTCGGTTTGTGTTTTTCCTCAGATGAGAATTCTACATGTCCAGGGTAGGGCGTGGGGTGCATTGCCATTGTTATTACTTTTTTCCTCTTAAAATTTTTTTACTGTAGTTTTAATCCAATTTACACAGGTTGTAGTAAGATAAATGCAATCAAACCTGTTGGACTTTATGGAAAGTCTGAAATTCACAGAAGCTTCCTGGTGAAGAGCATTTTTAGATCACCTTTGCTCTGGCTTGGAAGCCACCCACGACTGGGGTCTCCCTCTGCCTCAGAGAGTGCAAATTTTGTCCCTGAGGAATGTCCAGAATATCAGAGGCCACAAGAAGTCAGGACTGACTTATGAATTTTAAAATCACATTGCTTCTGGTAAAGTATGTCCATAAAGAACTCCTTGAAGAACCCAGGTTCCTGTAAAGAATTCTGTATGGACATTTCCACAAATACTACACATACTCCCGCCACTGCATGACAGCGACTGACTTAGTAGCTTCTTTCTAAAAAAAGATCCTATAGATATGTGGTTGCATAGATCGCTATTTAAGCATTCTTTGAGGTCAAAATGAAAATCCAGCTTTGAATGATGTGTTACTTAATACTCTAAGCATTTTCCTATGTTACTAAAAACTTGCACACGTTTTTTAACAATTGCCAAGTAGATCATTGTCCTAGTCACTTTTGTCGATGCTCAGCCACAATGCATGACACCCAAAACTTAGAGCAAGAGGAGGAGTTTATTTTAACTCAACATTTTTAGTCCGCAGTCAGCTGGCTCACAAACAGCTGGCTGGAATTTCTGGATTAGTGTTTCATGACAGTGCAAGGATGCTGAGGATTGTAAAGCGCCCAACACCACCTTCCCCCCAGACTGTGTGGAAAGCAGAGTTACCAGGCAGCACCATCGCTGGCTTCTGGCCGCCCTCGCCCCTCATCTGCTCCCTGGTGACGCCTGCTTTTCCTTCTCTTCAACGGAACTTGTCCAGGACCCGGAGATGCAGTGCTTGCTGCTGTCCCACGGGAAGACCCCCATCCACCCGAGCCACGTCGTCGTCCTCCCAGGGGACAGTGGCCACGGCACGGCCGCCATCAGCTTCACAGGGGCCCTGAGGATCCCGGTGAGTCTCAAGCCCGGGCAGAAGTGTGGTCTCCGGGCATCCAGGTGCCGAGCTCACAGGTCAGACAGGCAGGAGCCAGGCAGTGCAGCCACACGTGGACAGGGGCACGTGGCTAAGAGACACTTCCTCTACTTAATGCACTTTTAGTTTTCTTTTTTTTTTTTTGAGGCAAGGCCTCACTGTGTAGTTGAGACTGACCTGGAACTCACTATGTAGCCCAGGCTGGTCTTGAACTCACAGCAATCCTCCTGCCTCAGCTTCCTGAGTGCTGGGATTACAGGTGTGTGCCACCACACCCAGTGGTCTTTTAGTTTTCTTGAAGTTTTCTCCATTTAGAAATTCCGAAAGTTCATAGACAAATAGGGGTTTCCTTGAAAATCCAACAGTCTGGCTGCTCCCAGGACCCCGTCCCTCTCAGTATCCCCAGCCCCTCCCCAGCACTACTCTGCCCCTGATGTGCGGTTGGTAGCATGAACCGTGGTCCAACTGCCCTGCACACGTGTGGGAGGGGTGAAGAACAGCCGCGAGCCCAAGCCGGAGCTGGAGCCAGGCTCTGCCCTGCAACAAACTTCACGTCCAGGCCTGGCCACCAGGGCCTGCAGACACCTCTGCCAGCCGGCCTGTGAAAGACGCTGGCTGTGGTTTATTTTGGGTTCGTGTTTGTTTTGGTTTTTTTGAGCGAGGGTCTCACTAGGTGGCTCAGGCTGGCCTCCTGCCTCAGCCTCCCAAGTGCTAGGATTAACAGGCGTGCGTCAGGAAGCTGGTTGGAAATAAGAGTTATTTAAAGCTGTGCTCTTAGTGACAGCCAGGAACTGTCCTGCCCTGCCTGACCATGTAGCTGCCCAGAGTATTTGGGTCTAAGTCGGGTGTGGCCGGGGCAGTGTGCAGTGTGGGAGGGGGGCTCATTGGCGCACCTCTGGACTGCTGGGCCCTGGGGCTCAGGTTCCCATCTGGAAGGGGCTGCGCGGGCTGGGGCAGCGCCTGTGGGCGGAGCTGCTCCCGGAGGAAGGCTGCTTCCTGCTGCAGCCCCGCCCACCGCGCCTCCCTGCTCTCTGCAGGGCGTGATCGAGTTCTCCCTGTGCCTGCTCTTCGCCAAGCTGGTCAGCTACACCTTCCTCTTCTGGCTTCCGCTCTACATCACTAGCGTAGGTGAGTGTGTGGCCAGCACAGCCAGACAGACAGGAGGACAGCTGGGCCCCTAACCGTAGTCTTCAGGGTGCGGTGCTGGCGCCTCCTCTAGGCTGTGCCCCCGTGGGCCATGGCAGCGCCTGGGATGGAGGCTGTGAACCCCTAAAACCGGACTGGAGGGCGCCTCTGGGGACAACCAGAGGGAGGGTGACCATGTGTGCAGCAGAGGCTGGAGCTGGATGGCAACAGAATAAACCTGTGGATTCTGTGGAATAGGCAGCAGCCCCTGCCTGGGGACCACGCGATGGGGTGGGATGCGGTGGAGCGCAGCACCCAGGACAGGTCATTGCTGGAGCAGCTGGGCCCATGGCTGATGGTGGGGAAGGAGTCCAGAGCAGAGCGAGAGATGCAGGGCCCTCGGGCCATCATGGTAGGAGGGCCGGGAGGGCAGAGCAGCGAGTCAGCAGAGGGTGGCCTCTGGAGGGTGAGAAGGGTGGGCCGCGCCCCAGCCCTCCATGGTCACATCCCAGGCCTCCCTGCCAAGTCCTGCCCCCCTATACGGCACACTCCCATCCTGGCCTGCTCTCTTCTCTCACAGATCACTTGGATGCCCAGAGAGCCGGCGAGCTCTCCACGCTGTTCGACGTGGGCGGGCTCTTTGGTGAGCTTGCACCCCTGGCCCCCCGCCCTGCTCTGTGCAGCCACTGACTGCACTGCATGCGCCCTAGGGACCTGGTGTCCTCGGCCCGCCCTCGTCATGGGGCCCCATCCCTGAACTGGCAGCCCCGGGGCGGGTGACTGGGTGTGGCGCTTGGACCCTTGTGGTTAAAGGGCTTCAGGCCTGACCCCCCCACGCCCACGTGGGGCCACGGCCAGAGGAGCCCCCAGGTGACCTCTGCTCTCCTCGTGCCGCCCCAGGCTCTGGGTGAGCTGCTGCCCGCCTGAAGTTGCCCTCTGTTGCAGGTGGGATCCTGGCAGGTGTGGTCTCTGACCGGCTGGAGAAGCGGGCCTCCACCTGCGGCCTGATGCTGCTGCTCGCTGCGCCCACGGTCAGCCTCTCACCGGCCAGCACTGCCCCCGGGCCATCCTCCCTTCACCAGGCTCCCCAGAGTGCTCTTCCCTCAGCCCTGCTGCTCTGGGACTCCCACTCCCAGAGCAAGCCCTGCCCCCACCCATTCACCCTACTTTCAGGCATTTATCAGCTCATGATGTTGGGTAGGTGACATCCCCTCTGTGTGCCTCAGTTTCCCCAGCTGAGCAGCAGGACTGACAGTGGCACCCTGCAGAGTGGCCTCGGGGACTCGCTGTGTTTCTTACAACACTGGTGGCCTCTTGTTCCCACCCCTGCCTCCCCTCCATGGGGCTGTGGCTGTCACCAGAACAAGGTCCAGTCCTCATCCTCTGGGGGCTTCGACGCTCAAAGAAGGTTCAGGAAAGGGTGGTCGGCTGTGGCCCTTGCCTAGAGGACACCCACATCCTCAGGGACACTGCTGGGGCTGGGTCAGCAAGGGAGCACAGAGTCCCTGCACCCGGCAGGCCCCCTGGGCGACTGATGGCCCACAGTCGGTGTTTCTGTCCTCTGTCCACAGCTGTACGTGTTCTCCGCGGTCAGCAGGATGGGCCTGGAAGCCACGGTCGGTGAGTGCCTGAGGCCTGGCCACCTCCCTTCTTCATCCGCATGGCTTTGTTGGTACTGGGGATTGAACTCGGGACCTTGAGCTTGCGAGGCAGGCGGTCCCCACATTTGTCCACACAGCCTTGTGGGTCAAGTACATGGTGTGGTCCAGCAGCCCTCATCCCTCTGTGGGAGAGGCCAGGCCCACTCCTGGGCCAGGCCCGTCCCTCTGCAGTTGAGAGTGGGCACAGGGCCATGTGGGCCCCGGTCAGGCTGGGGGGCTCTGGGTGCCCATGGGCAGGAGCCCCTCGGAAGATGGGGTACCTGGAAGGCAGCTCTCTGTGGGACCTCAGCAGCCAGGGACCTGCACCTGGCCCTGACCAAGGCCCTATGGAGTGACCGTCAGTGCTCAGCCTGGGGACAGGCAGCAGGCCCGGCACCTACTCCCAGCCGGCGCCCACGTTTGGCCGTACAGGGCTAGGTCACTTCCTGCCGCAGCACTGGGGGTGTGCTTTGGCCCTCAGAGTCCCGTGCTCCCTGTCCTGCAGGCAAGCAGGGTGAGGCACTGGGGGTGCTGGCCCCCCAAAGCACCCCCAAAGCAGTAGGCAGGACGTGCAGTCCCTGCCAGCCCTGTTCGGGGGAACCTGGGCTGCATGGGGCGGAGTGTGGTCCCGCAAGGTAGTGTACAGCTCTGTGCAGGGGCGGCTGAGGCTGTGCCCCTCTCCCTCCGGCCGCGGTGCCCACGGCGCTGAGGAGCCACGTCTGGGCCCTTGGGTAGAAGAGAGGTTTAGCTTAGAAAACGTCACTCTGGCGAGGGAAGTTCCTACGCCTCCCTGGCGGCCACCCCATGCCGATGCCTCTCGCTGCCTGCCTGCATCCCGGCCACCATGGCTCCCTGTCACCATCTGCTCTCCCCACAGCCATGCTGCTGCTCAGCGGGGCGCTGGTCAGCGGGCCCTATGCGCTCATCACCACTGCCGTCTCCGCAGACCTGGTGAGTGGCCACCTCCTGTGTGCCCCGGAGGGAAGCAGGGGTGGAGCGGGTTGAACGCAGTGACGGGGAGGTGTGGGTCCCTTTCTGGTTCCCAGCTCTGCTGCTGACATCTTCTGTGTCCGCTTTCTCCTGCTTCCAGGGCACGCACAAAAGCCTGAAAGGAAACTCCCATGCCCTCTCCACGGTGACAGCCATCATCGACGGCACCGGCTCTGTGGGTACGTGCAGGCGGCCCCCGAGAGCTGTGTGCGCGGTGGGAAGGTTCCTGGGTGGCCTGACAAGGCCAGGTCCCCGCTGCCAGCTCAGAAAACTGCAGGGGGGCAAGCAAGGGCAGGAAGGGGAAGAGGTTGGAGGGCACCCTCGGTGCCCTCGCCCCAGGCCATCTCAGAGGAACACCCAGCTGGCACGCTTCAGCCCGTGGGCTTTTAGGGACGGTGCATGTGCAGACCAGTGCCCCAAGGGGACAGGCAGGAGTCCCAGCTATCCCAGGAGCTGTCCCTTGGGCCCCTGCCCATACCAGGCACTCAGCCGTGCTCCTGCCAGGAGCGGCCCAGACACCAGGACGGCCTGCCAGCCGGAAGTGGGGCTTGGGCTGCTGGAGACACTCTGACACCAGCCAGGGGGCTCTGGGCGCGTGTCCCACCAGGGGCCTGCAGGACAGGGCAGCGTGGCCAGGTGGCAGGCTGGGTCGGGGTAGCTCAGGAAGCCCAGTTCAGCCAGAGCCTGCTGCCCCTGTGGGAGGCCATGCCCTTGCCTGCCCTGTGGCCTCTCTGCCCACCCCCCGGGAGGGGCCCAGCCGTGTCTGCTGATGTAGAAGTCAGCGTCGCTCCTCCTCCCTGTTCCTCAGAAACACCTCGCAGCCAAGCACAGTGGCAAACATCTCTGTTGTCGCTGTTCAGGAGGCCGAGGTGGAAGGATCATGAGTTCACATCCAACCTGGGCAAATTAGCAAAACTTGTCTCAGAAGCATAAAAAGGGCTGGGGAAGCTGAGTGGTAGAGCACTTGTCTAGCATATGCAAAGGTTCCATCCCCAGTACCAAAAAACAAACCAACAAAAAAGCGACCTCCTGGCCAGCATGTCCCTGCAGAGGTCTCTTCTCCTTTATCCCCTGTGTCTTTGTCCACACCCCATCCTCCCAAGACACCTCCTCGCACCCGTGCGGAGCTGTGGTAGCTTCTGGCAGCTTCCACCCCATCCACTGCTCTCTTGGTGCTGTCGCCTCCAGAACAGAGCAGGCCTCCAGCCCTCTGGTCACTCACCTGGTAGCCATCCCAGGACTTTGGGAGTGGCCTTCCCTCTGGGCCGTCAGAGGCAGCTAGGGTGGCGGGTGGACCAAGTAGGTCCCCAGGGCTCAGGTGCACGTGTGGAGCCGGTCATCACATCCACAGGGCACAGGAACCCTGTTCCAGGCTCTTGCTGCCATTCCCAGGCCTCAGGTGACAGTCAGCTCGCCCATGTTCAGAAGGGCGGGCCGTGGCCCAGTCCTCGCCAGTGGCAGAGCAGCCCTGCCTCAGTGCGGGTCTTCCCTAGGTCGGGTCCAGAGACGACTTTGGTGTACTGGACGGTGTGGTGTGGTGGTCACCTCCGACGTGCTCTCAGGGACCCCTGGGGCAGGGAGGGCTGCGTGCTGCGGCTGCTGGGGGTCCCGGAGCCCACGCTCGGCCCTCAAGGAGTAAGCGGGAGCCCGCTGTGTGGTGCCGATCACATGTCACTTTGACAAACTCCTCTGTCAGTGGGTTCTTGTGAGTCAGCCCCACGCCTGCGGTGACACCTTTCTCCCCGCTAGTTTGAAGGTCTGCTGGCAGCTGTGAGTGCTACGGTAAAGCAGGGATTTGAGGTTTAAAAGGAAAAGAAGAGGGGAACTATAAATTAGGTGAAAAGCACACTTTTATTTAATGGTGTTTTTAAAATGAGAGCACAGTAGAGGTGGCAGCTGAGGGAGGCCAGGTCTGAACAGAGGAGGCCCTGTCCCGGGCTGCAGGCTGTGTCAGGGGCAGGGGCAGGCAGGCCTCTCCCAGGCGGCCCGTCTGTGCCAGTGCTGACCCTCTGTGGTGGCTGCATCAGGCCGGAGCCGGGCCCGGCAGCTCAGGAACTCGGCAAACGGTCTCTGTGGAAACAGCACGCGCCTCGGTCATTATTTCTTCCCACACAAGCTGCTCGAAAAGACAAGATGAAAGTAGAGAAAAAAGTCCCCAGGGCAGAGGCCCAGCGTTTCCAGCACAGCCTGTACTGTGAGGTCTGGCCCACAGGGCCGGGGAGCCATCCACGCCCCGGAGCTGTACAGGTGACCGGGACCCCATCTCACGGCTCCAGGGCCATCGGCCGAGGACGCGAGCCCATGCGAGGGGAGCGTTCAAGGTCTTTCTCTGTGGTCCCTGTGGACGGCACGGGCCTGACAGCGCTGGGCTGCGGGGGTCGCAGCGAAGCTTGCCCTGCATTTCTCCAGTTTTGATCTTTATCTTACCAAAGTGAAATATAATCTCCCCTCAGAAGCCAGGTAACCCCATCCGCCGGCTGGTGCTGCCCGGCCACCAGGCCTCCTTCCCACGGCCGCCCACTCGAGCGGCTCCCTGGGCCGCACCACGTGTTCCAGTCGATCTCTTTCTCTTCTGTCTCTGCTGCTGCGGATCGAATCCAGGGCCTCACAACACCAGGCAAATGTGTCACCACCAGCTGGGCCCAGCTGGGCTCCCCAGGATGCTGGCCTCCTTGGAAGGAGAGGGGACTTGGCTGCCACACACTCTGGCCTTGTCCTCTGCTGACGCTGGCTGTGCCGGTGCCGCTCACTTTCCAGAGAGATCAGCAGCTTCTGTTCCCCTTTCTGTCCAGCCGACCTCTTGCCCTGCGCCTTCGCCATCCTTGCCGTTCATTCTGTCCCCACGGCCGCGTGTGGTGCTGCAGGCTCTTGTCCCGTGAGCACCTCTCCCGGCCATGCCACAGCCTGCTCTGGACCCCGGCCTCCCCTCAGAGGTGGCAGTGTTGTGGGAGTGCGGGAGGTCGACACTCTGCTGTGCTTTCGCATCCAGAGGCCTGGGGTCCCTCACGGAGATGTGGGAGCCCCTCTCCCTTGGGCGAAGCCGCTGTCATCTTAGCCAGTCCTTCTGTCCTGCTGCTCGTTGGGGCATCTTTAATGACCTCTCTTCATTCCAGGGGGACTGTGCTCCGTTACCACATTCCCGCCGGCCTGTACTCATGCCTGTACCCTGAATGGTTCGGAACAAGACACGCACACTGCACACACTTAGGTACACATGTGTGTGCCTTCCGCGGACTGCTAGCAGCAGGTTGCAGGGTTGGCCCTTCCGCTGGAGATGGATTCCCTGAGGCAGCTGCAGTGCACGATCAGAACTGCAAAGCTGACAAGGTCCGAGCGTTAAGCGTTAGCTCTCACAGAGCTCGCTCACCTTTACCAAGCAAGAACTTTACAGTGGGAGAATAGCTCCCAAGACCGTGCACTGGGCTCCGGTTTCTTTACACAAATTCAGGAATGATGATGACACCGTGGGGGCGTTGGGTCAAAAGAACGCACATTGCAAGCAAGAGTCAGCAGGTAGGGTTAGAAGTGGTTCCAGGGGACCGTGTGCCGTGACCCTGGCTGGCACCGAGGATGGTTCGCTTTTCACCCCTGACTGCCTGCAGGGTGAGAGGTCTGCCCTTACTCTGTGCACAAGCGAGGTGTGAGCTTTGTTCTGTGTTTGTCCGCCTCGAGTGTTTCAGTGGCTGGAGTCGGTCCTCAACAACCCTCGCCTGCCCTGCTGTTTCAGGAGCAGCGCTGGGCCCCCTGCTGGCCGGGCTCCTCTCGCCTTCCGGATGGAGCAACGTGTTTTACATGTTGATGTTTGCAGACGCCTGTGCCTTACTGGTGAGTGGGCTCCCGCCCCCTGGGGGTCCCTGCAGTCCCAGGAGTTTGGCCACCACAGCTCCACCTCACACGTGGCCTCAGGCTCTTTCGCTTGCTGGTGAACAAAGATGTGTGTGTACCTGAACAAGGCTCAGCAGGCTGCAGGAAGGCCACGGCGGAGAGCTCTGCGGCTTCAGCTCCCGCCAAGTGAGTGTGTGACCGGCAGGTCCCCGGGCCAGGCCTCCTGGTGCCGCAGCTTTTGCAGTGCATGTAGCGAGGTCGCCCGGGGACAGGCCTGTTGTGCGGGTCCCACACGGTGCTGCGTGAGTCTGCTCCCCATCCCCGTGGCAGATGCCCAGGGTCGTTGGCTTCTAGAGGGAGGCTGACTGGGGCTCATGGTTTTGGAAGCTCCCGCCGAGACGGGCCGTCCCTGGTGCTTTGGGCCTGTGGCGGGGCTGCACAGCTCCGTGGGAGTGTGGTACAGCAAAACTGCTCGCCTTGTGGCTGGGAATCGAGAGGGAGGGAGCAAGGGGCCGTGCCCCAAGCAACCTGAAGGGCTCCCTCCAGCCCTGCCCACTGCTCCCGAGAACTCGGATGTGCTTGAAGTCGGAAAGGACATCATAAGAGTGGGAGGTCTGCGTGGCCAGAGGGAGTGGCAGGCCGTGCTGACAGAGGGGTCTGAGGATACAGCAAGTCTGTGCCCAGGCGCCCCCTGTGGAGGACATAACTGCCATCAGGAGGTCTGCAAGTCCACTAAGGGCGCACTTATATTTTCAAGCCTAACAGCCCCCGGACACTTCCTCTTGGGGACCAGCATTCTTCCTGGTGTCAGTTTTCCCTCCTTCCAGGCCAAGTCTGGGGCCTTGGAGATGCCAGGAGCTCACAGGGACAGAGCCCCTGTCTTCACCCGGAGGGAGCAGGCAGCTCTGGGGCTTGCAGGACCGGCCAGGCCCTTGGTCGCCAGTCTGCTCTGTCCCCCTCAGGTCAGCAGGTATCTAAGGGCCAGTCCCCTCACTGCATGACAGTTGCAGGACAGCACCTTTTTCCTGTGGGCACCTGACCTCGGTCGCCCTGTTTGCAGGGCACCCATGCCCGCTGTGGCCTTGTATTCCTCCTCTTCCCTCCTCACCGCGATCTGCCCTGCCCACTCAGTGGGATTCACTGTGCTGGCAGGGGGCCGACTGGGCCGGGCCAGCCTGCAGGCGGGGCTAGAGCTGGAGTTTTGTCCAGCGAAGGTCTGAGTGGCCACAGCCCCGGCTTTAGCGTCTCCCTGCCCATCGATCGTACAAGCCTGGCTCCGGGCTGAAGCAGAGTGTGACCCACAGGAGACATCCTTGTTCGCAGTGGCTCAAGGGCCTGTACCCCAGGCGTGAGGAGTGACACTCCTGACCCCTGGGCCCAGACCAAGCAGGTGTGTGGCTGAGGGCTGACGGCCCCAGGAGCCCACAGTGGCCCTGGGATGCCCTGCCCTGCCCAGCCCAGCTCAGCCCTCTTGGGGCCAACGCACAGGCGGCACCAGCATCCGGGACTCACCGGTTCACAGAGCCTCCGGCCCAGGCTGCCCTGTCCCCTGACTGTGGCTGCCTGGTCTGTACTTTCTTTCTTTCCATTTGGATGTTTGTGATTGGACTCATTCTGTTTTAAATACCGCAGACCCTGATGTATCATAAATGCCTTGCGTTCCCTCCTGAGAGACCGCTGGGCCCAAGCCCACCGTGCGGACATCCTGGCCAGGCCTCTGCAGCTGTAGGCTTTGGGGGTGACCAAGGCATGGCCACAGTCTGCCTGGGCCCGGTGGTCACAGACGTTCTATCTTTGTCCTGCTTGCAGTTCTTGGTCCGCCTCATCCACAAGGAGCTGAGCTGCCCAGGGCCAGCTGCGGGGAACCAGGCTCCGTAAGTACGCGGGCCCTCTCGGGGCCGAGGCCACCCCAGGGCGCCCTGGCTCGTCCACCTCTGCATGTGGCCTCTGATTAGAAAGAGCTCACCGCCTGCCCCCACATGGCTCGTGACCCTTTGTGTCATGATCAGCGCCTCTGTGCGGGCGACTGTGGCGGTGGAGAACGGTCAGGGAAATCGCCCCGCTCTGGAGCTGCCAGCCAAGACGCCCCCTGTGCGGCAGCCCTTGCCCTTGTGCCTCCCTCCCTTCCCTACTTCCGCCCCAGCAGGCCCCGGGGCAGGGTTGGGGCACAGGGCTGGCCCCGCTGGAGTCGCTGGAGTCCGTGAGCTTGTGCCTGCAGCAGCGCTGCGGGACCTGTTTCATGCCGCCCTTTTCTTTTCAGACTGAAGGAACACTGACCCCGCGAGTCCACTGGAGGAGCTGGGCCCGTCCATCCTAAACAGACGGCTTTGAGCAACAGCTACACCAAGGATCCTGTCTCAGGAAGACTGATTTTCCCGGGTGACACAGAGCCAAGCTGAGAACTCTGGGTGTGGTCAAGCAGACGGGCGCTCAGGATGGCGGTGGGCGTCCCAGGGTCACTGCACAACTGAGCCCTGATGCGGCAGCCCTGTGTCCCCCAGGCGCCCCAGTGTGGCGTGTGACGGCGTGGAGGCGACCCCTCAGGTATCCCCAAAGTGATTGCTGAAGCCACAGCAGCTCCCCCGAGAGCCCGCACGGGCCGAGGGAGCGGACGGGTCTCGGGCACAGGGACGGACGCACCAGCTCCACGCGGCGTTGGGCAGCCCAGACCCTGGTCAGAAACCAGGGATTTCTCCAGCTCCTTTGGGCTCAGGGCTGACCTGGAAACCGCAGGCGTCCAGCGTGAACCACTGTGAAGCCATGAGCTAGCCAGGGGGTGGAGGCACGGTGCAGCCTGAGCTACCGCGCCCCTGCTGCACCCCAGAAGCCACCTGTTTCCAGATACGTAGCCATGGGGGGTTATTTATTTAAAACGCATTTTGTGTTCTATGAAGTTTAAGAAATCTAAGTGGCATTTTGTTATTTATTAAGACAAACTGAAACGGTTCTCTGGCCATTTGTTTTTGGGGGTTGGATCTAGCAAAATACTTATCTGTCCTTTGAAATAAAGTGGATTTTAGAAAAAAAAAATCAAGCAAAACACACAGAGAATATTGGTCCTTTCTGCTCACGTGACCGTGACGTGTGGTTTTGGTTTCCCGGGAATAACGGGTGGGCTTCTGCCCGACAAGCTCTTCCTCTGGGCATCGGAAGTTTTATAAATCCTGCTCCTTGAAGATTATCCAAGATTTGTCCTTGATGTGGAAGGACACGCACGGGAGCGGGTGGTGTGGGCAGCGGTCCAGGTTGGCACCATGCGTGTTCTTTGGAGCCAGCAACTGTTCTGGGCCGTGACCCAGTTGCCCTGACTGCAGGGCCAGCGGGCGGCCGGCCATCATGGCTCTCCTGCCGCTCCCTTGCTTTTTTTCTTTTTTAAAGACGTCATTTACACACCTGCAGAGCTATCACTGAGAGCGCAATCACTGTGACCCCTGAGTGGAGCGAGTCTCCTCCATAGTCACTCTCCTTTGTCCTGGCCACTGCCACTTATGGTGTCGCCGGGAGGGTGGGGACCCCAGCGATCTGTCTGTGACAGAGCCCCGGTCACGGCCACACAGAGGGGTCCCAAGCAGACCTTGGCCAGCCACCGGCTCAGCGGCATGAAGCTTCGGGGTCACAGTTGTGCTTTCGCAACTCGGTGAACCACTGCTGGAGGAAAACCCGGGCGCACGGAGGAGGAGCAGCCCTGCGTTCCTGGGCCTTTCCAGGCTGAATCCTGAGAGTAGACCGGGGATTGCACTCAGGACCTTGTGCTTGTGAGGCAGGTGCGGTGCCACTGAGCTTTTGATATGGATAGTTGATCTTTTTTAAAAGATAAGGAAATGTGGATTTTAGTTGAAATAAAATTCATGAATGGGAGATTTTTACTGTGACTCTTGAGAGGGGGGGGAAGCATGATTTGATATAATGATACATACTACCACCACCCCTGGCAGTGGCCAAGATGATCCCATGTGCGAATACCTGGCAGGAGGCTCCCCAGAAATGTACCTGGGCTTCGGGGCTATATCCTCAAGAGGTCTTGTTCAAGGGGGCAGACTGCCAGGACCAGGAGGACACTCCTGCCTCAGCCTCCTGAGGTGCCTGGTGGTCCTTTGTCCTAGGCTTCTTTCTCCCTTAGTCTGTCCATGGAGGACGCAGAATAATCACCAATTTGGAGAATCCCATCAAAGTACGTCCTTCCAAATAGCAAGCTGAAAACCCACAGGCCCCAGTTTCTCACTGTAGGTTCCCAGGCAGGCAGCTGACCTTCCAGGCCTATAGGAGGCCTTTCCTCATCCCTGCCAACCTCACCTTGCTGTTGCAGGCCACCCCTGGTTGCCACTTGGGTGACCACACAGCCCTGCACACAGTGGAGAAGGTGAGGTTGGGGAAAGGGCAGCTGCATGTCCCTGTGGCCTGGGGACTCCAGTGGAGGCCAATAGCTGGGAGGCTGGAAGGTGGACAGGGGTAGCTGCAAACTGCTACTACGGTGCCCCCTAGGAGCCCCGGGCCTGCTGCCAGGCGGAAAGGCAGAGCCCTTGTTCAGAAGGCAAAGAGAAGTCTGGTCTCCCCACTCGGCCGGCGAACTTCCGGCAGCCACTCAGCACCCAGCGCTGCCCTGAGACACCTGGCCATGTCCCCACCCGGAGCGTCTGTGCAGGACACCCACACCTGGTGGCAGTGGGACTGAGGCCGAGGCCCCAGGGGTAAGAGACAGCATCACCCCAACTTCCCACACCCCTTCTCACCCACAGATTCGGACACTGTTCAAATGCAGCAGTGAGCTGGGTATGGTGGTGTCATCCCGGTATGCTGGGAGGCTGAGGCAGGAGGATTGCAAGTTCAGGGGCAGCCTGGATAACTTAGTGAGACTGCCTCAAAATAAAAAAATAAAAAGGTACTGATGATGCAGCTCCATGCAAAGGCCCTGGGGTCCAGTCCCCAGAACCACCAAAAATAAAAGTGCAGCAGTACTGAGGAAGCACGCAGGCCCATGGAGCATGGAACCCACTAACCCTGCTGGACAGAGGTCCAGTGACTCTCAGTCCACCCCATTCCCACACCATGAAGGCAGTGCAGCCACCACAGTGAAACGGCTCCACCTAGAAACACAACAGGGCCTGGGGCCAGCACAGGAGGCCCCAAGGCTGAATCTACAGCCCCTGCTATTTAAAACGGGGCTTTTCAAGAGATAGCTCCAGAGCCTTTTACCTCTCAAGGTCCAGGTGGAAAAATGCCCTTCACCTGTTTGCACGCTGTTCAGTCACTGTCACCGAACGCTGCTTCAAAGGGAGCTGTCCTCTCCCTGACATCTGAGCCGAGCCGTGGCTTAGGGTCCGGTGGACGGGACCGGACCCTCCCGAGCCTCCTGGGAAGTACAGGCTCAGGCCCACTGCCCACGTGTCCATCAGGAGGTCACTAAACTGCCGCTGCCCCACATGTCACAGGCCACAGTGGGGGTCTCGCGGACAGCCGAGACCAGGGTCATCTGTGGCTTCCCGTTCCCCTGCTGGCTCCTCCTTCTGGGTCCCCACACCCGCCTGTCATTGCCAGCAAAGCCTCAGGTTCCCACTGTGTGTCACCACATGGCCACAGCAGGGTGGGCATCCGCCAAGCCTCCCGGAGCCAGGGACGCCACGTCCACCTCGGAAGTCGTGTGCGGCCACCACCGGGGCGGTAGGAGAAGCCAAGCTGCCCGACCCTTGGGAGGAGCCCTGTGAGGACCAGATACTCGGGTGGGGAGTGACCACTGCACTGAGTGGAGGGGCGGAACACACCGTCCAGCATGCGCTCATGTTTGTTTTCGCTCCTTGTTTCCGTGCAGAGCCACGATGGACTTGACCCACATCTTCCCTCTTCTCCTCTTTGGAGTACGTTTGTTGATGGTTTTCTGACAGCGCCAAATGGCTCACAGTCACAGCTATGACACACTGGAGTGTGTGTTGGTGTGCACGAGTCCACGAGCGTTTCAAAAAAAGATCCACTTTAACTAATCTTGACCGTTGTGAGTGGAAGTCAGCAGAAGGCAAAGGCAGCCAGACAGTCCCGGCCCAGACTTCCTCTCGCCTCGTCCAAGGTGTTTCCGGCGTGGCTGGAGTGTGGGCTTGGGTGCAGCAGCCCCTGCGGGACTCAGGGCCGGAGTCAGGTGCTGGCTGTGTGCGTGTGGGCAAACCCAGGGCGCCTGGGGGCAGCTGCCCAAGCAGCTCTCTTCAAAGCCACCTGCTGGCTCCATAGGCCACGAGCTAGAATCCAGCAGGGAACCGGCACCAGGAGCCCCTCTGCGGGGCAGGAAGCAGACGGGCACCAGGCACAGCCGCAGCGGGTTCAAGCTCTAAGGGGCCCCATGCCCTGGGGGTTTCGTGGCCCCGTTGTGTGGCTCTCCACAGGTCTGTGGCCGCATGGGCTGCTCATTTCCTGCCCTGGCCCTTCATTTTTTCCATCCTCTGGAACTGCCAGCTTCCCGCATCAGCATGGCCAGGCAAGCACCCAGGGGTTCCATCCAGCACCGTCAAGGTGCACTGGGAGTTCTGCATACACGGTGAATGCTCTGCAGATGAGCAGGTGGTGAGCGTGGACCTTGTCCAGGCCGCAGAGGCCTGCGGAGCTACCGTGTGGCCTGCGAGGAAGGGGAACTCAGCCTCGGCCCCTGAGGGAGCTTCCGGCTGCCCTCCCTGCCACCTGCCTACAGATACAGGACAGGCCCGCCCACCGTCCTGTCAGCCCATCCCTTGAAATGAATCCACGGGTGTACATGAATGTGTCACACTCATACACTCAGACAGCTGAAGCCAAAGATGATGCTGGAAGGACGCGATGGCAGTCCAGGCCAGCGGGCTGCTTCTGGACTCAGTGGCTCTTGGCAAGTTTCCAGGAGGACGTGCAAAGACACCTCTGCATTGAGCCCAGTGCTCTGCCACACCCTACATCGAGGGTCCCCAACTCCAGAAGCTCCCCCTCCAGGGCCTCCTGTCCCACAGAGACACTTCCTGGGTGCCTGAGCTCATGAAACTTGCCAGGTCCAGAGATAGTACTGTGATTTCTGACTTGCCTGTGGAATTATGTCACCATCCATCCAGCCATGCTCCGCTCCACGCCTACACCCCTGCCAGAGCAGAACAAGTGCAGAGACAGTGAGACACAGGGTACGGTAGACAAATGAGCCAAGACAAGTTCCAAAACAGGATTAAACGCGATGCAGGAGGGGCCAGGGATTTAGCTCGGTGGTTCTGTCGCCTGCCTCAAGTTTGATCCCCGGCACCAAAACCAAAACAAAACAATACAAAACAAAACAGGATGCAGGAGCAGGCGGGGCAGTGCACATTTATGATTCCCCCCAATCTGGGAGACCGAGTGGGAAGATGGAAAGTTCAAGGCCAGCGCAGGCAACTCAGCAACTGAGACAGACTCTGTCTCAAAAAGGAAATGAAAGAGGGCTGAGGATGTAGCTCAGCGTGAAGAGCTTGGGTTCAGTCCTAGTACCCCGCCCCAGAAGTACTGGAGGTCAGGAAGGGAAGCATATTACGTTATACCCACAGTGCCTCAGAAGAGGGACAGCTGGGCAGAGAATTCAGTGGTGGGATGGGGTGGACGGTGTGGAAATCTAGAGAGGCTGGGCGAGGGGTCCAGAAGGAAGTGCAGCGAGTACAGGCTGGGGGTTCCAGACAAGTACAGGCGGTGGGTCCTGTGTCCCACAGAGGACTGGAGGTGGGGTCAGGAGCTGGCCGGCTCCCAGGTATGACGGGGTGGAGGGATTGTGGAGCAAGAAAAAATAAGGAGAAGTGCAGGGGCCCACCAGCAATGAGGTCAGACAGCATGACGGAAGACCTGACCTGACCTTGACAGGTAAGGAAACGGAGGCCCCCCAAAGGGCACAGTGGGGAGCAGGCCTGGGTCGGCCACTGCACCTGCTCCCACAGGCTCTGTCTTCGGGAAGCGCCCCCCACCGGGGCCGCTTGACCCCGACCCACTGTCCCCAAGTAGGGTGTGTGGTTGACCCTCCAGGGTGGACACCGTGGAGCCACAGCATCTGGCCACCGTGGGCTTCAGGGCCCTGCGGTTGGGCAGAGGTGGCTCAGGAGTCCTGCAGGCTGCTGCCCAGCACTTGAACCCGGAGCCACAGGCTTGCTTTGCTCTGTTCCAGGCACCAAAGTCCCTGCTGCCACCAGAGGGCCTCCCAGCCCAGCTCCAGTGCACCAGGCCTGGCTGCAGGGCTGTGTGGCTTCCTTGTCACTCTGAGAGAGATG